ACAACCATTAATTCTTCCTTAATAGTTGTGATTAATACTCTAATGGAAATAATAATTAGAAATAAAATAAACTTGTGTGTTAATTTTATCCAAAAATAATAAAATCTAGCATTTTAAGACTAAAGGAGAAGTGTAGGGGGTGTAAAGTGGGAGTCTCATTGCTACATACCAATGAAAAAAAAAAAATTACATTAGGTTAAGTTACGTAAAGTCTAGACTAACTCAACCTCATAAATGTGGCATATTTTTCTTCAAATGCAAAAGTTAACTTGACAATAGTCAAGGTCCTCCTGTAGAGAAAACACTGTAGTGGCCGTTTGCTTACATTCTGACAGCCAACCATTCACAATAGACGAAACAGCTGTCAACGAAGAAGGAGCATATGACAAATTCGCCAGGCCGATGGGTACACAAAAATTTTCGCTGATTGCACAAATGTATAAAATTTGTTAGGAGGACTCAATTAAAAAGCGTAGGAATAATTTTAATTATTAAAAGGTGAGATTTATCAACGATCAACCAGCGCCATGGCGGAGCATACGTTCCTCGGCACTTGGGAGGTGAGTGAACGCCGGTTATTTTACAGTCAGCTAAATTAAATGTGTAAATCATTTTTAAGATCGTGTCCTGCACCTTTGAACATAAAGCGGAAATTTCTGGATTGGAAGGGTATGTATTATTTAAAAATGTGTGGTATTTATCAGCATTACTCATTGAACTTCATAACTAATTTCAGCATTAAATTTCGCCTGGATGATACGAATGATATAACATGGTATAATGATTTGGTTAATCCACTTCCAAAATCAAAAGACTGCGGTACTTGCTGCGATTCGGCAAGTGTCTTATTTAGTTGTGAAACATTCGATGTGAACGAAACAAATCCACGTTTAGTATTCGGCGCCTTTGCTGGTCATAGCATAGAATTTAGAGTAAATTTTTTTGGTGCTTCTGCTTTATATGCATTAACCCCTCTCGTTAATTACGATTTGCAGACAAACACTTTAACACCGACTGATACGCTTATCTTGGACTGCGAAAGCTGGTATACATTAGAGTGCAAGCGGCTGAAGGAGTGCCACGCTGCCGGGCAAGAAAAAGAGTTCTCCTTCGCAGAGGCGCTGCAAGAGTCGTACTTCTCGGATGTAATCATTAAAAGCTCTGATGGCTTTGATGTAAGCAGTCTGGCATTTCTTTGGGATTGTTTTATTTATTTAATTTATAATACAATTATATGTTTTATTTTAATTTTTGTTTTAGTCTTCATTTCGCTGCTCTAATTAGTTGACTATTTGAGTTCTCATTTCTGCACAAAAAGGTTTCCATTAAAATTGTGTTTATACGCTATAACCAATTTTTTCTAGTTCCATGCGCACTCTTCCGTTTTACGCCTAAATGGCTTCGACTGCAGCATGTGTGTGCTGACGAACGAGTCAATGTTGCCGCAGCCACCTACTGCTTGTAAAAACCACGACATATTGCAACCACAGCAGTACCAACAACCTCATAAAGGCCAGGATAGTGAGGGAGCTGGCACTTTACTTGGTGCGTCCAATGCCATCAAGATTTCTGTGACGCTGCCCATATCATGTTCTGATAACAATGACGATAGCCAGAAATCATTGCCGCGTCTCAATCTGTCGCCCATATATCTGCAACCGCCCTGCGAATATTCAAATGTTGGCAGCAACAGTGGCTTAATAGCTCATCGCAGTGCACATTTGTCAAACTCTTTTAATTGCCTCTCGAGTAGCGCCAACAACTATGATAAAAACGCGTCCAATGCAGAAGGCGGAGGAATGCGTCGTTTTCCACCCACTTCCAATTCCGATTCTCATCTCGAAACGCAGTCTCATTGCAAAAATATATTTAATTTCTGTCAAGATTTTTTGCTGCAACCCACAGAGCCAACTACTGTGTGTAATACCAGACGCCCGCCTCTGTCACCATATCGCGCACGCAGCCCTTCGCCCTTTCCCAGCTCAATGGATACGCCGCCTTCTTCGCCTCTAACACCGGTGGGCGTTCTATACAACTTGCCGACATTTTTGTTGACGCCAGTGCTTCATTGGTTATACACTGAATCCCTGATGCCTGATATGGACGAAAATGTTTGCGAGAAGCTGATAAATTTCGCGGAAACGCAACCTTCTCTCACAAAAATGGTTGACCCAACTAGAAAGTATTTGAAACTGATACAGCTTAAGAAGTGTAAGCAATGCCTCCATGGTTTTAATGTCTAGATTATTAATTAATTACAACCATTAATTCTTCCTTAATAGTTGTGATTAATACTCTAATGGA